TTTTTGTTGTTGTTGTTGTTGCCGCGGCTTGCACCGCCGTTCCTTGCAGCACACGCAGCCACAAACCCAGGCAGGCCCCCTTTTTGCAAGACGCGCCACGGGCGGCTCCGGCTTTTGCAAGGCAAGCAGGGCGCGCGCCGAGGGAGGGAGGGATGGCGGGGGACGGGGGACAGAGAGAGAGAGAGCGCCCAGACAGCGAGCGCGAGACCCGCGCGCCGCAGCCAATGAGAGACCTCGCGCGCGCCTTCCCCCCCCCGCCCCCTTTCTGGCTCTGCGAGGGCCAATCAGGAGGGGAAGGAGGGAGCGTTCCGCGTGCGCCTGGCGCGCGTGCGCGGCTGTCTCCCCGAAAGGGGGTGTGTCGGCGAACCCGGGAGAAGGAAGGCGGCGGTGAAGAGAGAAGAGAAAGTGGGGGGAAGGGAAGGGAAGGCAGGGAGCCTGATAATGGCGGCCAGGAGGAGAGAGCGCTGCGGTGGCTCTGAGGTAAAAATGTAACCTGTTGGGGCCTGGCCTGCGAGTCTCCACCGGGAGCTGCGGGGGCGCGTCGTCCGGAGCCCCGAGGACGAGTCCTGACAGGCCGGCCGCCGCCTCCGACACCCGGTGGCTTGGGCCTGAGGAGACGACTTGGAGGCGAGGGCCTCGCCGTCGGGCCGAGGGCCTCGCGGGATTCGCCGGGAGCTCCCTTTCCTTTACCCCCACCCCGGTTGTGTCGCTGAGGGAGGGAAGGGGCTGCGTCCTGACACGGACGGCTTCAAGAGGGACGGTTCGCACGTGACGCGGCGCCAAACCTGGGCTGGAGGGGGGGAAACAGGCTTTCTTGAGGGGTCGGAAGCCGAGGCAGGCCGCCCAGGCTTTCCCGTGGTCGGGCCTTTAGGAGAGGCCTGAAAGCAGGGGGGGGGGGGGGAGAGAAGCCGAGGCAACCATGCATAGTTGGCTACGGAGAATGGGCCTCGCAAGGAAGGCGCTCTCGCAGCCTCTTGGATCGCCGCCGGCTCTGCGTCTTCATCAGCTGTTTGTTGGGCTTCTGTTAGCAGGTGGCCCTCTTTCCCCATAGAGGGGAGGCTTCATGTCCTGCTTTCTGTAGAATCCCCTGCTGCTAAATCTCCTGCTGCCAGGCTGACGATTTCTTTCCCTTCTTGACAGTCGCCTAGTCCCGATGCTCCCGTTGCTATGAGGGATATGTTGCGGTTGTCAAACGCTTTGCAACAAATGCAAAGGAGTGGCTTCACTTGTGTGTGTAGCATAATCTGAAGGCGCCCTAATTCTCTGTAAACTTCCATAATATGGCACTGTGTTTCTAGGGCTGCAAAATAGTTGTGTGATAGTGGCATCTGTTTACATTCCAGGACTGGGAAGAGAAAATGAATCTTTTGTATCTTTTATTTATTTATGTCTTCCACTGTTATGAAACATCATGTAACAATAAAGGTAAATAATCAAGATGAAAAAGAATAACAATTTTTAAAAGTGATATAAGATTGATACAAGTCACACACACACAAACTTTTTTAGTCCTCGCACACACACACACACACACCCCTTTTAGTCCTCTTCTGCAGCTCTTCAGGATAAAAGAACCTTCCTCTAGCACTCTGTACTACCATAGGTAAAATTCAGGTACATTCAGTGTTCATTATATACAGGAGCTGTGCTCACAGAGAGCTAGAGTGAGCAGTTAAAACATGACTGTTGTCTTGTGCTTGGTAGTCATTTGAAATATCTCTCCTTTATACCACCAGTAAAATTTTGGTTACCTGTTCCTTGAATGTCCAGAACCCACTAAAGGTGTGAGCAAGAAAGCTGCCATTCTATTCATCAAATAGAGGAATTCTTGGGAAATACTATAGTGTTGTATACTGACTGGATGTGCTAGAGTTCTTGGACTACACACACAAGTGAAGTGTTGTATCTTGGGGATAATAAGAATAGGAAAAGAAGGTGGCTATATAGTGAAGAGATTAAATAAGCAGGAACAGAGCTGAAATTCTAGATACAATTCCAGACAAATCTCTCTGCACACAAGATATGCATGCATTTCAGTGGCCTGGGAATTCAGTAATTTTCAGATTCCCAAGGATTACCTTATAGGTTGTTCTGCTAGTCATGTTTATTTATGAGTTATCTAATACAGTCTTTGGTATCCATAGTATTCTTGTGGCATGTTGTCAACAGCTGCTTTTGCTTACTTTCCTCAGGAGATTCAGCAACACCTCTTGGTGCCGTAACCAATGGCTGTAAGCTGGTCTCTTAGAAGGCTTTTTGTAACTTAATCTGTTTATTCTTGTCCAAATAATACAGTAGGTGTGAGATCTGTTCCTAGGCGTGTATGCACTTTTATGGCATTTCTGTCTTTGTTTTAAAATGTATCAACTTTATACTTCCATGGTGACTGTTTGGCTTAAGTATCTGAGTGTTCTGCTCCTGAAAAATAACTAGTAGAATAAGTCATGTGCCATTTTGAAACCTAAGAGATAGGATATATAACCACATATTTTTGAGTAAGGTGGTTTGATTTGCATAATCAACAGCTACCATTACTGGAAAAAGTATTGCAGAGTGGTAAGAATGGGAAGAGAACTACAGGATATTGAGGATAAATTATACATCTGCAGCATTTGGGGTTGTATTGTTCCATGCTTATGTATACTGTGTTCTTTTGGGCAGAAAGTTATGTCAGGATAACTTTCAGAATTAAAAGCATCAAGAACCACAAATACACAACAGCAATATAAAAGAAAACATTTGGGACCACCAGTAAAACAGCAGTACCCATTCAACAACAGCAAATTCAAATGAACAGGTCTTAAGGGCCTCTTATAAAGCAGTCAGTGAGGGTGGCATACTGTATATACTTTCTGAGTAAGGAAAATTCCACATTGATGGAGGAAGCACTGAAATGGCTGGTTTCTAATGCCTAACAATATGATGCATCTTATGAGCAAGCATATGTGGCTCAGTGCCCAGTTATAGGGTTTGTGTAGGTTCATGTTGTTGAAGACAACCCTTCAAATAACCCAATCGTAGTTCATTTAGGGCTTTAAAGATTAACATGATATCATGGTAACAGACATTATAATGATTGACTTTGTAATAGATCAATCATAAGTACATAAGTTGTGTTTTTTTCTTTTCTCTAGATACATAGACCTTGAAGATGGTGAGTAGCCAGCCAAAGTACGATCTAATACGGGAGGTTGGTCGTGGCAGCTATGGTGTGGTGTATGAAGCAGTAGTGAGGAAAACCTCTGCACGTGTTGCTGTGAAGAAGATCCGGTGTCATGCCCCAGAGAATGTAGAGCTAGCCCTGCGTGAGTTCTGGGCACTTAGCAGCATCAAGAGCCAACATCCAAATGTTATTCACTTGGAGGAGTGCATTTTGCAAAAAGACGGCATGGTACAGAAGATGTCCCATGGTTCCAGTTCCTCTCTTTATTTGCAGGTAATTGAACCTAAAGAGGGTGGAAAAAACAAGTCATTTGTAACACAGGTCTGATATTCTCAGCAAAGTAATTTTAATATATGTAGACGTAACTGAATTATTTTTCTAAACATTGGCTCTGGTTTTAAGAGGGCTTGAACATAAAAATCCATAGCTGAAGACTATGCTACGGTTCAAAATCAGCTGATCTTTTTATGCCACTAAATTAGTGGCTAAAGGTAGGGAAGTACTAACTGCCGTGCAGCCATAACATTAGAGAACATTGAGAGCCTTGTAACGAGTGCTGTCAAAATCAATCTGGAAGAAGATGGATTGATTAAACTTTTAATAATTTCTGCAGGGGGCTAATTAAAAAAGCCGTGACTGTGTCAGGAAATTGTGTCATTACGTCAGCTTTGTTGTAATCTCCTCTTTGGTTGCACAGTCTATTAGTTCCATAATGGTTGTATAATGTCACTTTGAAAACAAGACCAAGAATGAAAAGCTATTAAAATAATAAATGAAAAATGGTTTCCTAACCACCCCCTTCAGACACTTTTGTATGCTGAATCCTTCTTTTGATACTGATTTTAGTTGACTTGTTCCTGTTTAACATGGATGTAGCAAAATAAATTTGCTTCATTTTTCCTCAAGCAGATTATGAAATAGCTACTGCTATATTTTACGCACTTTACTGTATTTATTGCTGTTTGTTTGGCAGCATTTGGGATTAACTTTGAGAGCAAAATGGAGAGCCTTTGATTCTTGTAACATTTTATTCTCTTGAACTAGCCTCACGGTGTTCATTTGTGCAGATGGCAGAAAGTGTGTTTTAGAATTCTGTTAGTAATTTTCCATTAGTAAAAAGACTTAACAAACCTTCGGCAACCAGTCAGTAAGATTTATCTCAAACTATGGTTAAAGAAACTTAACTCTGGTTTGTTGTGATGGTTGTCAGTTCATATTATGCTTTCCTGTCAGCTAGTAATGTAGAAAAAGAAATCATGGTGTCAATCATAATTTATGTCTGGGACCTCCAGAGCCCAGTGCTCCCTAGAAGAGGAAATGCTGAGCTGATGGAAGGTAAAAGGAGACAAACAGCTTTAAATAATGATTTTTCTAAATGTTCTGAGATCCAAATCATGTTTTAGTTCTGCACTCCATTTCAGCACAAACAATGAAAAGAAATGAGATTTGAATTGTGCTTATGTATTCATGGAAGAAGCTAGTTAAGGTGTTTGTGATAAATTCATGTTGCCAGTTAGTGTCTCTTGAAAATACTGCTTAAGAAAAATCTTAGGGTTAAATCTAGTTGTTAGTTTCAGCTAGAATTGGTCAAGCGAACAAATAAGACTTCTGAAGTCAGTACTTGCATATCTTCTATTGATTCAATAGGACTGCTCTAGGTAGGGATAACAATTTAAATCAGCTCCAAAGTGCACATTAAAAATATGGACATTGGCATTCCTTTAGTTGACTACCTTCTTATTTGAATTGTGCTTGCTCAACATATCCATGAAATGTGTTTGTATTTTAGCTTGTAGAGACCTCCTTAAAAGGTGAAATCGCCTTTGATCCAAGAAGCGCCTACTACTTGTGGTTTGTGATGGATTTCTGTGATGGAGGTGACATGAATGAATACCTCTTGTCTCGAAAGCCAAGCCGAAAGACCAACACCAGCTTTATGCTTCAGCTTAGCAGTGCTCTGGCTTTTCTGCACAAAAACCAAATCATCCATCGTGACCTCAAGCCTGACAACATCTTGATCTCTCAAAGCAGGATGGATGCTAATGACTTAGAACCTACCTTGAAAGTAGCTGATTTTGGGCTGAGTAAAGTTTGTTCGGCTTCAGGACAAAATCCCGAAGAGCCTGTGAACGTCAATAAATGTTTTCTTTCTACGGCTTGTGGCACCGATTTCTACATGGCTCCTGAAGTTTGGGAAGGCCACTATACTGCTAAAGCTGATATCTTTGCTTTGGGGATTATAATTTGGGCAATGCTGGAACGGATAACTTTCATAGACACAGAGACAAAGAAAGAGCTGCTGGGGAGTTACGTGAAGCAAGGGACTGAGATTGTGCCGGTCGGAGAGGCATTGTTGGAAAATCCAAAAATGGAACTGCTCATTCCTGTTAAGAAAAAGACAATGAATGCTCGTATGAAACAGCTGATTAAGGAAATGCTTGCTGCTAACCCACAAGACCGCCCAGATGCTTTTGAATTAGAACTTCGATTAGTCAAAATTGCTTTTAAAGACAGCAGTTGGGACACGTGACCTCTGGAGTACTTTGCCTTAGTGACAGAGTAGTATCTGTAACAATGGTGCACCCTTTTTGGAAGCAAAAACCAGGCTAACCCAAATTCAAGGTGTCAGGGTTCATTGTTCCCCCCACCCCTATTGTATTTCATTTGATTTTTGCAAACTAAGCTTGAGGTGGCTGTTCTCATTTCAGTTCCCACATATGTATTTTCAAGCTATAGCTGCAATGCTATCCACTTGGCCCAGAAGACTGGCAATTTAAATGACTGCTTTCTAGGAATACATTATGGAATATTTCATACATTCCAGTTCTTCTACTGCAGAATTTGGAATGCTCATGGAAGAGAAGATTTGCATGCTGGTAATGCAAATCGTTCAACTTTGTAGAGTAAACATGTATATATTTATGTCAGTATGGGTGATTTGACGTCCTCCCCCTTTCATACAGACAAAATGTCCCCATTATTTATATTGTCTTGTATAGAATTGGGTAACTGTGGCTCATCTATGAATTCCCCAACCTATCACTGTTCTCTGCTTTTTCCCCTCCTTAAAGTTGGAAGATGATGGCACAAAATATAGTCAGTAAGTGTGTTGCAAAGAGAATGTCTTGACTGAAGCACTGAGCTGTTGTGCAGAGAACCTCTTAGACTGGGAGGTTGCTGTAGGTGGTCTCATGGCATATGCCAACAATCGTCTGCCAGTCTCTTGGTTAGGCCCTTCTATATTCAGCTTCTTTTTTCTGGAGTGGGCAAACTGCACTTGTCCAAGAGGTGCTAGACTGCAGCCCCAGCATTCCTCGCCTTTGAGTTTGCTGCCTTAGGGATGCACTTTACACCACCATCATCCCATTCCAGGATACTTGAGTGACTCTCTGTGAGACCAGTTTCATAGTTACTCCTTATATTCATATGGCATCTAACTTTATTATCTTTAATGGAGTATGCTTCTTTGATCATTTTTAAAAACAGAAATCCTGGGAAAGGAAGAAGACATGCTGGGTTCTGCTGATAATTTTCCTAGTAACATCTTCCCTGCCCAATGCCTTGTTTCTTGCCCTGGCATTTAGTTTAGTTACATGCGTTGCTGCTTTCATTTTTGGTGTAGAGATTTTTTTTTCAATCCTTTTGTCTAGTATTGGCCTCAGTGACAAGGTAGTTGGCCCATTTACTTACTTTGGGGGAGAAGAACACTGGAAATGTTGGGCATCATTGAACTATCTAGGCTTTTCCTGGTTAGGGAATCTTGCCAGTTTCTGTGAGTGAGGGAAAATGTTGTTTTCCTCTACACAAAGTAACTATGCTCATTCTTTTATTCTTGAACTGGCAGCAGCAGCAGATACAGAACCCTTGGCAGAATCCCGCTGTCCCATTCACAAAGAGCAGGGTGTTGTAGAAGTGATTCAGCTACAAGCCAGTACATCCTCTTCTATCCAGCAAGATAGTGGGTCCTGTCATTATTGGTATCTTGTTATTACTGTTTATTACTCTTGTGCACCAGATATGATGGCTGGAACATTTGCTCTTGAACTGAAGCCTTCCCTCTCTTGGCTCAGTGAAGTCAATATCAGTAGCAGCAGCAGCAGCCAGGAGGACGATGAGCCTGAATTTCCCGGTGGCTCCCGTACCCAAACCTCCAGAAGGAGCCGGTGGTGTGAAGGGTGGCCGTGCCCACTGGTTATACTGGTTATATGATAATGGAAGATTGTTTGTTGAATGGAAATTGAAAGAAGGGTTGCAGAAGGAGTGAAGCGGACTGGAAGGAATGCCATGAACAGACAGGAAACCGACGCTGCCTTCCTCGGGGAAAGAAGGGCTGCGGAGTCTCAGTCCGATGGGCAGGGTTCACCCCCACTGAAACATTCATCAGCTGGCTTCTCTTCCAGGTTGTTGGTGCGCATAGTCTACTGCCACTTTGCACCTTGCTCTCTCTGCATGGGATCAGAAGGGTTGCACTGTTCATTTTGTTTCTGGTTGACTAATGACAGGAATAAAAGTTCTTGGTTCAAGAGCAAACAGAGAATTGTGAGTTAACGTCTTGTTTCCTTCTGAAATGCACTGGAGTTGATTGTACTTCATAGTTCTTGGATGATATAGCTAGTATCTGAAGAGTAGAATGAGAACATTTGTCATTTCATTCCGAATATGGTATATCCACAGAAAGCAAGATGCTTTTCAGATGAAAATACTTAATAGACTTGAAAAATGCATTTCCCTTTAATCAGAGTGTAGTTATCAGTCTTGCAGTGTCATCCTGTGCATGGTAACTTGGAAGAAAGTCTTGCAGACTTGAATTGGGATTGACCTCTAGGTATAAATATGCATAACAGTTTGCATAGTACTGCAGCCTGAACTGTTTATAAAAGCTTATGGAAATGCTGAAGATCTTTTCTAAAATAATACAGTATTTGAGGAAATGTCATGTTAGCAACCCGAGATTTTGCCGAGGGATACTTGAGGAGAATTTCAGCTTCTCTCATTTGGTGTATATCTCTGTCTGTCTCACTTTCAGTGTAATGGTATATTGTGTTATCTGAGGACCCAATTAATGTGTGTCCTTTGACTACAAAAGTAGAGGTAATGTAAATGTGCAGTCACAAGGTAAATGTTCAGAGAGAATTAAATTCTCTTTACTCTTTAAAGCACCACTGTGCCTTTAGAGACAAAGTTATATAGCAAGCAGGAAGGGACTCCTATGGATCTCTTGGTATCCTGTCATTCATCAGCTAAACATTTCCATAATATGTAGATCAGACAAAAGAGTGAGCCATAGGTGCTTAAGTCTTTGCGGATTATTAAAAAGCAAGAATTCTTACATATGTGTCCTCATTAGTCGGATTACTGTGTACTGTTTCCTGGCACGTGCTGGACCATGGCAAATCCAGATTTTGAATGCATTATTGCATGTGCTTCTTAAATGCAGTAAAACTGTTAATGCCCAAAGTGCACTGGTTTCTTGTTCTTAAAAATCGGGGAGGCGTCCTCAGGTCACTTCCTTTCATGGTGCTTAGCCTGTTGGCATTGAATGCTAACTTGATTATTCCATTAATTATCCACTGAATAATTGTTTTTTGAAATTTGTATGTGTGTGTAATTTTTGTTGTTGCTTGTGTTTGCTTTGAGTTCCTGTAAATTCTCTTGAAATCCAAACAATTGTAGCAGCTACAAAACAACCCACCAGCATAACACAGAAATTGAGATATTCATCAGCACTTCAGGAAAAAAACCACAGACTTTCAAAGCTTTTCCTTATAAATTGTAAATTCTATTTTGTGAAGAATTTATTAAAGGAGGGAGGGGAATGATTGTGTAATTTATTGAGTTCAGAACTTTTTTAAAAAATAAAGTCTGAGTTGAAATGAATCCTCCTGCTTGATGACCTTTTTTTGTTGGTCTAATGGGCTTCATATGATAGCCTTTACCTTGCTTGTGAACTAGCTGCTTTTCCAACACACAGCATTATCCTTGATCAGCCTGGTGTGTCATTGTCTCCTGAAGCTGAGTTTGTTGGATGTGGAATACAGTTTGAACAAATGTTGCCATTCATTTCTTTTACTGTGCCTAGAAGTAGCCTCTCTGTGAGGCAAAGTGAGGCTGCTGTTTAAGGTGGAGGAATTTAGTTGCTATTAAGGGCAGACAGTCTGCTGTATGAGGTGAAGCCCACCTGTAAATTATCCATAAGCTTTGCTGAAATGTTTAGAAATCTAGAAATGCTATTACTGATAGAAAGGAACACTGATCCACCCTATAAATACCTGATCTTCAGGTAGTGCTAGCCTTGTTCAAGCACTGACAGGTCTGTCACTTCCATCAATTCAAGGTGGAGTTGCTTGTTGCAAATAACATATTTGGAACAGGTGCACTCGATTCTAATATTTTCCCAGAGAAAGGTTTTCCTTACAGAAGAAAAATGTGGGAAAGATATTTGACGGCATAGCTATGATCGGAATGACTTTGATTTCTTTAATCAAAAATAAAAATAAACCTGCAAGGCCTGGTATGGATTCTTCTCAACAGAGCCGGTTCTACCATTAGGCAGAGTAAGGAAGTTGCCTTAAGTCATAGATTTTGGGTGTCAAAGAAGGCAACAATTTCTCCCCCTCCCTTCATCTAAAATGACTCCGACTGCAGCTCAGATATCATGGTTTTATGTACACAAACACCATTTAACCCCCCTTGTGTTTCTGTTGCTGCCCGCTGTACATGCTGTATCGGGCAGGCTTTGTGTGTAAGAGGCATTGCTCTTTGTGCTGGGGATAAGAAGTTGGTGTGTCTGTTTTTTTCCCCCCTACTTCCTGTTCGTTGTTTTCATTTGCTTACTTTCGGTGTGCATTTTAAAAGCCGCTCGTCCCTCTGCACCAGCCAATCGGGGCTGGCGCACTGAAAAGTGCCAAGTAATGATAGACCGTTGCTTTGTGTGGTTAGATAAACTTTGTCTGCAGGGAAGTTGAACAGCCGTCAAAGCCGCACCTTTTCGAACATTTCCTTGCAAGAAGGAGACTCTGTGTTCCTTTGCACGGTCGCAAATCTGTGCAACTGTGATCAGACGACTTTGCCAGCCTCAGTGGGTGGCAGAGTTCATCTTCTCGGCTTAAGACTCTTAGTTCTCCCCTCCTTTCCCCAGCAAACAGCTACCCAGTTTTTCGAGTGTTGCAAGCACAAACAACGACATGAACCCCTGAGTTCATTCACTGTGAAGGGGAAACGAAAAGAGTAGGAGAGAAGCAGAGATGGGGGGAGCAAGTTGTTTAGTCGGCCTTTGTAGCCAACGCAACCAACAGCTAAAATAAAACCATGGCTTAATATGAAATGCAGACACAGACACAGTATTGACAGTTTTGAAGGTCACACACCAGAAGTAACTGTGAAGGAGTTTAATACTGACCTTGTCAATTGGGAGGTTCTCAGTTAAGACCAAAATACATATCTGGTGAAATGCCATCAAAAAGTGGGCTGAAAATATTGGAATGGAAAGAATCAAGGAGGCACAAAGGATGAGGGAGATGGGAAAGCAAGGCTCTAACATCTCAACAACCCAATGAACCCAGGAACAGCTAGGTAAAGATAAAGGTTCCCCTTGACATTTAGTCCAGTTGTGTCCGACTCCAGGGCGCGGTTCTCATCCCTGTCTCCAAGCCATAGAGCCAGCATTTGTCCGAAGACAGTTTCCGTGGTCACGTGACCAGCGCAACTAGACACGGACCGCGTTACCTTCCCACTGAGGTGGTACCTGTTTATCTACTTGCATTTACGTGCTTTTGAACTGCTAGGTTGGCAGGAGCTGGGACAGTTCCGTCGTGTAGATTTGATCTTACGACTGTTGGTCTTCTGACCCTGCAGCACAGAGGCTTCTGCGGTTTAACCCGCAGTTCCACCATGTCCCATGATAAACCTGGTGGAAATGAAGGATGATCAGATTTCATCCTTTGAAGCTCTCATCGCAATGGCTGTTGGAGAAACTGGACAAGAGGAGCGGCCAATATTCTCTGCACCTCAACAGACACGAGGAGGTGGCTTGTTTATGCCATCTCTCCCCAAATTCTTAAACTAGCATGGCCAATGATCCTGCTAGCTTGGGATTATGGGATTTGTAGTCCAAAAAAAGAAGAACCCTTCCCTTCTCTGCATCCTGCCATTGTCTTTTTCTGAAGCACGTATGGAAGAGGTGTGTTTGTTGTGCAGTTCAACCTACTTCATATGCCATCCTTTTTAACATTAAAGAAGTACCTTCCTCCTTGCCCTGTCTAAGACGGATGGATGGATGGGTGGGTGGATCTGTCAAGAACAAAGGGGGCTGACTCACAATTCAACATGAAAGAAACTCTAAATCAACTTGCATGTACAAGACCAGTTTTCACACAATGACATCATAGGTTTGGCCGTTTCTGTTTGATTAACACTTATGTAATCATAGGGTTCATCAGAAGGGTAGGTCAGTAAAGGATCTGGTAACAGATTAACAGGTAAGGGATGCTTGAGAAATTGGCAGGCACAAATTGGTTGCATTATCTTCTTTCTAGTGTGAGCAAGGAGGACAGGAATCAATACGTGTTAGTATAACACACTCTTCGTTTGTCTCTATTTTTCTGCAAATTGCAGCCTTCTCTCTTATCAGAGAAACTTCAATTACAACACCCTTCGCTTGTCTAGTCATCTGCTTAGATCATTCCTCTGTTGAGTTCTGTACTGAAAAACAATTGGTTAACTATTTCGTTCCCTAAACAGTGTCTAAGCTGGCCTGGATAACTCAGTGAGAGATTGGGAGTTCAATTCCCCACTGTGCCAGCCTGGGTGATCTTGGGCAAGCTGCACAGTCCCAGAAGAAGGGAAGGACAGACCACTTCTGTGTATTCTATACCGGAAAATCCCAAAAAGGGTCTCCATAAGTCAGAACTGACTTGCCAGCATGAAATTATTATGAAACAGCATGTTGTCTTTAGCTTACCTAAGAGAGGTAGAAGTCGGACTTGACCAAAAGGTTTAAGCAACATTAAACAGTCTATCTCTTCTGTTAGTTTCCCAATATCTCCTTACAGTAGCACATCTAATTTTGATTTTCAGCTCATTTCCAGAGTCAGCTCTTGAGTTGGTGCTGAGACCCGAGGACGTGACTTCCAGGAATCTAGAGATTTCAGAGCTGAAAGATTATGTTACATTTTTCTCTTTCCCCCGTCCCTTGCTTCACAGTGAGATATTTTGTCCCAGCCAGAGGGCCCCCTACTCCACAGAACATCTGGTTACTTTAAAAGCAAATACAGAAGAATGCCTTTTAGCAAGGCAACTTACAACATCACTGACTAATGACAGTTTTTTCGATAGACATTGGTTTTTTGCGATCACTAGTGATTCGCAAAACAGTGATTCCTACGGACAATGTTTGGTCCCTGCTTCGCAGACTGATTTTCGCTAGGCGACGATTTTGACAGTTCCCTCTGTGCTCGCAAACAGGTGTTTTCGGGACCTAAGCTTCACAAGACAGTGATTTAAACAGCTGATCGGTGGTTTGCAAAGCAGCTTTCCTATGGCCGATCTTCGCTAGACAACGACGATTCTTCCTCATTGGAACGCATTAAACACATTTCGATGCATTCCAATGGGGAAATGGTTTTCGCTAGACAATGATTTCGCTAAACAGCGATTTCAGTGGAACGGATTATCATCATCTAGCCAGGCACCACTGTACTGGTTTGGAAGTTGCTCTGCCAGATACACACCCCAGAGCCCAGTGCTGTGCATGTTTACTCCCTAAAGCAGCCATAGGTTCACGGCTGCAAAACAGAGCTCAGCTCTAAACAGGAGGCAAGTCAGATCATGCTGGATGCCAAAATATCTCTCTCTGGGTGTGGATTGAAGAGAGGAATGAAGAGAATGGCTTCCATCATTGGCATATTTATGAGTGTCAATGAATAAGCCACTGTCGGACTGCTAAGGATGACAGCAATATGTAATGTGGCCGCTTGGTGGTACACTCCCTCCAGGGTTTGGTTCGGATTTCTCCAAAGTTCAGTTGACAAGCTCTGTAACCAGTACGTGCCTGATTCAGAACTACAAGATGATAATGAAGGTATTTTCTAGACAGGCACTTTTATCTTAATGATAAACACTGGGCAAAGCATGCAAAGCTGGACTGGAGGAAAGGCCAGTATTGTAAGGCTAGCCCATTTATTCCAGTCTAAGACCTCTAAGAGTAACAAACTTACAGTTCAACCTGTATCATTAGCTAAACGCAGCCCTCTTCCCATATACACAAACTTACAGTTCAACCTGTATCATTAGCCAAACCCAGCCCTCTTCCCATGTATTTCCTTGCTCTCCTTCCCCTATTTGGGGTAACGGCTACTGTGCAGACCAGGTTTGTTAACCTTAAAAAAATATTTTTTGGGTCTGTCTTCCCCAAACCCATGGTGCCCTCCGCCTATGTTGATAGCATCTCTGTCAATTCCAGAGGACTGTATTAATTAATGATGGGTGTGATCATGCACAGAGATAAATTGCAATTTAGACTGCTTGCGGACTGGCTCGGTGCCATCTATTTCCTGGCGATTGCAAGATGTATGAGTAGATGCGCTCTCTGGCCTGATCCTGATCTGTGGCCAAGTGGGACCTTTTTGGTTCAGCTGCAGAGTTTTTTTGGGCAGGCTCCCTAGGGAAATGAAAGGATATTGTCAAGGGAGATCACTCCTCTCTCGTGTGATCTGGGCCACACCTTTGCAGCCATTTGATCACCTCCTGTGGTCCATCAAGTCCATTCGAATTTATTGATGAATCTAGCTTGCCCAAGGCCACACAGGCTGGCTCTTCTCCCCAGAGGCGCAGCGAGGAATCAAACTCCTGATCCCTCCAACTCACTGAGCGATCCTACT